CCCCCCCCCCCCCGCCCCGCTGTGGACCTGGCTTCAGCGTGCTAAAACATGTCACCGGTAAGCCTGGTGTCTGTCTCTCCTGGTGGTTGCATGGCTTCTCTACCCAGCTCCAAAGGAAAGCGCCTGGTTCTGTGTGGGCTGTAGGGCCTTCAGCCTCTCACTAAAGCGAGGTCCTCCAAATCCCCAAGCTGCTCGCCCCCGCCTGGGTTCTGGAGTTTCGGGCTTATGGTTCCAGACTGCTACCTAGGCCGCGCGCCCGACTTAGGGCACCGCCTGTCGGTTCCTCCGCGAGGTTAGCTACTGAGACAAGGAGTCGGTTTCCCAGAGCGGCCCGAGGGTGTCTCCGGCTGGGACGCGGGGTGAGGGCGTCACTTCCGGTCGGTAGCGGTCGGTGCGCTGGGTGGGGCTAGTGCGGCCCGGCCGGGAGGCGGCTCGTCTGCGGCGCTGAGGTGAGTATGGGCCGGGCGAGGGCGGTGGTGACCGCGAGGGCTCCCGGGCGCGGGCCGCCGGCCGTTCCCTGTAACCACAGAGATGCCCCGGCCCCCGCCCCGCGGTCGACAGTATCTCCCGCCCCGGCGTCCCTCGGGCCGGCCCCGTTCCCACTCTCGGAGCCCTCTCGAAATGCCCCGTTCCCCGCCTCGGGGTTTCCCGATGGGCCGCAAGCCCCGACCCGTGCCGTCCCCCAGCCGGGCGTCTGCTGTCCGCCGCTCTGGCCGGGCTGTTCCTTGCCGGGCCCCCGCCCCGCGCCGCCCCGCCCGAGGGTCCTCCTCCGCGGTATGATGGCTCGGGGGAACCCTGGGGTCTCTTCCCAGGTCGTCCCAAGGGGCTGCTTCTGGGGCCCTCCTGGCCCGCTGACTCGAGGCCCTTTCCCTTCCCGGCTCCTCTCCGCCGCGCGGACGGTCACCAGCTCTCCAGACTCACCGCAGCCCGCAGCGTGACCCGGGCCTTGCCCTCGCTTCTGGGTGCAGGTTGTACTCCCCGCCCTTCCGCGCCGCCGCGCCGCCCGGTTTCCCTCCGCACCCGGTCTCTGGCTTGGAGCGCTCGGTGCCCGGCAACGCCTGTGTCAGTCGTGCCCCCGCCCCGCGCGCCTCGCAGCTCCCGTGCTTCCTTTTGCCTTTAGCAGTTCCCGAAGGGCCGGTCCCACGGCGCCTGCCTCCCACCCTTTTTCGCTTCTGGGGCTCCACGGCCTTTCAGAGGCCAGACGTCTGTTTCTCTTCTCTAGAGGCCTTTATTCACGTCTGACACTGAAGACTTTTTAAATAAAAAGTGCACCTGTTTCTGTGCTTTGAAAGTACATTAAACACACACACACACACACACACCAACTTTTAAAAGGAACTTTGGGGGCGCCTCGGTGCCTCAGTGGGTTAAAGCCTCTGCCTTAGGCTTGGGTCATGATCCCAGGGTCCTGGGATCCAGTCCCAAATCCGGCCGCCTGCTCTGTGGGGCGCCTGCTTCCCCCCTCTACCGTCCTGTGGTCTCTGGCTGTCTATGTGTCTCGCAAATAAATCTTTAAAAAACCAAAACGGAATAAAAACGTGTGTGTGTGTGTGTGTGTGTGTGTGTTAAGTAATCTCTGTGGCCAGTGTCTGGCTGGAATTTACCATCACGAGGTCCAGAGTGACAGGATGTACCAACTGAGCTAGCCAGCCTCCCCACCCCACGTCTTTTTTTGTAATGTAGGTTCCATGCGAAAGTGGGACTTGCGCTCACCGCCAGAAGATCGAGACTCCTATATTTTACTGACTGAACCAGCCAGGCACCCCTCCCCCCCTTTTTTTTTAAAGAAAGCTGTTGAAGTGGAATTGCTCTTAGATGCAGGGTCCCCAGTCCCATTTGGTTCCCTAAAAAACCCTTACTTTTTTCTTTTTAAGATTTTATTTATTTATTCATTTGACAGAGAGAGACAGCTAGAGGGAACACAAGCAGGGGGGTGGGAGAGGGAGAAGCAGGCTTCCCGCTGAGCAGAGAGCCCAACTCGGGGCTCAATCCCAGGACCCTGAGATCACAACCTGAGCCAAAGGCAGAGGCTTAACCCACTGAGCCACCCACGTGCCCTTTTCAGATTTTTTAAAAAAGATTTTATTTATTAGAGGGGTGCCTGGGTGGTTCACTCGTGAAGCGTCTGTCTTCGGCTCAGGTCATGATCCTGGGGTCCTGGGATTGAGCCCTGCCTCCTTCTCCCTCTACCACTCCCCCTGCTTGTGTTCCCTCTCTTGCTGTATCTCTGTTAGATAAATAAATCTTTAAAAAAAATTAAAGATTTTTATTTGAGAGAGAGCACAAGCGGGGGTGGGGCAGAGGGAGAAGCAACCTCCCCTCACTGAGCAGGGATTCCTGTGTGGGACTCAATCCTAGGACCCCAGGATCATGACCTGAGCTGAAGGCAGTCATTTAACTGACTGAGCCACCCAGGCTCCCCTTTTCCAGATGTTTATTGGACTCTGATTTTTAAAAAAAAATTTTAAAGATTTTATTTACTTCTCAGGGAGCACAAGCAGGGGGAGTGACAGGCAGAGTGAGAAGAAGCCTCCCCACTGAGCAAGGAGCCTGATGTGGGCCTCGATCCTAGGACCCCAGGATCATGACCTGAGCTGAAGGCACACGGTTAACTGACTGAGTCACGCAGGTGTCCCTCATTATCTATGATTTCCCAAGTTGTCATGTGTTCATTTTTTTAAATAAATGGTCTTTTTTTTGTACTTTAAAACATTTTGTAGGTCTTTTTTTAAGTATTAAGTATGTTTGCAAGTATCTTTGATTCTACAGCTTGTTTTTTTAATGTGTCTTGTACAGAAATTTTTGGAGTAAAACAAGTGTTCCTTGATGTACTGTATTTTGCATGTTATTTTCTTACAATAGCCATACGTTTTGTTTTAAACATTTAGGTCTTCAGTGTTTTTAAAATATATTTTTGTGCCATCGAAGGCAGCAGTTGGATTTTACTTTCCTGTGGAAAATCCGTTGTGTCGGTACCATTTTGGTTAGCGCGCCGTTATGTCATTGATACGCGCACCAGTCTGTTCCTTGTTTTCTGTACTATGTTCAAAGCTCGCTTTTATTACCGTAGTCTTACAGTAAGTCTTGGTATGTGGTAGGGCATGCGTCTGCCTAACTTCAGTTCTCTTCTGGCCTGGCCTTAGTTAATCTTGGATCATTATTATGATATTGAGTCATTTTGGTCAGATTTCATGTTTATGTCCTGTTGCAATTTTGGTTATACAGAATTAATAGATTTACTTGGGGAGAACTGACATTTTGATGACATTGAGTCCTTCTTTTTATTACCACTCTCTATTTCTCCATAGCTCTTTTAGACATCCTTCAATAAAGTTCTACTGTTTTGCCCCCAGGGTCTTGGACCGCACTCTGACAACTGTTGCTGCTTGTATGGTATGTAGAATTATGTCCCCTTTTTTGTTCTTAATAGTATTTCTTTTTCCATTTCTTTTCTGCCTCCCTCCATTGGACTTGCCAGATGTTTGTGTGTCTTATTAGCAGTGTTGAGATTATGTTTTGTTTCTTTAAATCAAGTATTCTTTATTTTCTTTCATCTTTTCTTGAATTACTTTTATTAGTCTGTGTCTAATTTCTTTATTTTTTTTAGGATTTTATTTATTTGAGAAGGAGAATTGGAGAGAGAGAGAGAGCATGTGGGGGAGGGTAAGAGGGAGAAGTAGACATCCTGCTCAGCGGGGATCCCAATGGGAGACTTGATCCTGGGACTCTAGGATTATGACCTGAGCCGAAGGCAGTCGCTTAACCAGCTGAGCCACCCAGGCACCCCTGTATCTAATTTCTTTTTTTTCTTTTTAAAGATATTATTTATTTGAGAAAAAGCACATATGTGCGGGGAGAAGGGCAGAGGGAGAGGGAGAAGCAGACTCCCCGCTGAGCAGGGAGCCCGATGTGGGGCTCAAACTCAGGACTCTGGGATCGTGACCTGACCGGAAGGCAGATGCTTACCTCACTGAGCCCCCCAAGGCCCCTGAGGTGGTCCTTTTTAATCATATATTTCCAGCATAACACCAGTGGTCAGAGAATGTTTTGCCAAATGGTATCTCTTTGGAATTGTTGCCTGGTGTGTGGTGTTTTTTAATAGTTTTGAAGATATATCTTGGAATCTCTCTGTTTCAAGCAACTATTCCGTACTCGTTCCACTTGTGTCTGAGGGGGGCGCGCTGGGATCCGTCATTCCAGGGGGCTTTGCCGGTTGCTCTCTGCTCCTCCCATTAGCATCGGCTTTCCGTGTTCCAAGTGTCTTGGTGGACATACACTTGTCTGCAGTGACAGCTTCTGGGTGGGTTTCCCTTTTACTAATATGTGTTATTCATTTTCTTTTAAGATTTTATTTATTTATTTGACAGACAGAGATTACAAGCAGGCAAAGAGGCAGGCAGAGAGCGAGGTGTAGGCAGGTTCCCCGCTGAGCAGAGAGCCCGATGCGGGGCTCGATCCCAGGACCCCGAGATCATGACCTGAGCCGAAGGCAGAGGCTTAACCCCCTGAGCCCCCAGGCGCTTGTCTTATATTCAGCCTTTCTGTGTTACTTTGTTTTAGGTTATGCAGGTGCGTTTTGTGTGTATCTATTAGAGACTCTTGTGCTTCTAGTAGGTGAGTTTAATTCTATTTCTAACCATTATTCAGCCACTGAACTTGCTCCTACTAAGGTATTTCTTACCATCTATACTTTGATTTTGTTCTGTACCTTCTGTGATTTATTTTTTTAAACTTCTGTTTGTCCTTAACACTTAACAAGTTGACTTTATTCTTGCATATAAAGTGAATGAGTATTGCCATTTTCCTCCTGAATGAGACTGCTTGGTGTGTCAGAAAGGTTGAGGGGAACAGATGACCTGAGGAGTTACCCCTGCAGGTGTCCCTGCGGTGGGGGAGGGTCGGGCAGGGCAGCCCCAGGCAGGGAGCAGAGTCTGCCTAGGAGACCAGCTGCAGCCTGATGGGGATGAGTGTGGCCCTGAAGCTGCCCACAGGAGGGGCAGGCTGGGCCACCATGTGTTCCTCTCTCTTCCTTCAGCACCAGTGTGACTCACACTGGGAAGCCCAGGGTACCAGGTGATGGCGGCTTTGCACCTGTCTGCCCTGCCCCAGGTGAGCATCGAGTTTCCCTGAAATCTCCACAGAGGGTTTCCCTGCCTGCTCTGTCTTCGCGGACACTGTCAGGCATCTTGGTCTCGGGTACTGAGCAGAGGATGGGTGACCCTGGGACCCCCTCCGCCAGCCTTCGGAGTTACTGGCTTAGTGACCAGGGACTCAGGTCACTCCCCTGGCCTGTACTGGGGGATCATGCCTGTAGTCACCCCTGTGCTGCTATTCCTGGCATACTTCTGCTGTTCCAGCCTGGGCCTACACCTGGGCCTGCAGCAGCCCCTGTCATTCCAGGCTGAGATGACCTTTGAGGACGTGGCCGTGCTATTCTCCCGGGAGGAGTGGGGTCGTCTGGGCCCTGCTCAGAGGGGCCTCTATAGGGACGTGATGCTGGAGACCTACAGGAATCTGGTCTCCCTGGGTAAGTCCCCTCACTAGGCTGCTGGTCAGGGAACAGCCCTGGGCACTGATGATTCAGCAGGGGCTGGGCTGGGGACTTCTTCCTCTGGTCCTAGGCAGACCTGGTTTGTGCAGACGAGAGGCCAAGTGGGGCTGGGTCAGTGCTTCTCTCCTCTGAGCGCCCAGATAAGACTTGCCTCCCTGCCCCAGGCCCAAGACAGACTCCTCCATAGAGGGACTGCATATCTCCAGGTGGAAAGAGTCACCGGGCTCTTGTTCCCGGTACTTGGATCTCAGATCTCGTCTTCATGACCATCCCCAGTCCTCTAGAGTGTCCAGACTTCCCGTCACCCCACTTTGCCTGTGCTTCTCCTTGCCGCCCCAGTTGCAGATGAGACACACTCCGTACAGCCCTGCATGCTCAGCACCAACTCTAGGCCCCGTTTTCTTCCCAGGAGCTGGGCCTGCAGGTCCCAAGCCTGGGGTGATCACACAGTTGGAACGAGGGGATGAGCCGTGGGTCCTGGATGCACAGGGCGCCGAGGGGAAAGAGCGACTGAGAGTCAGTGTCTCAGGTGCGTGAGGGGGGCCGCTTCCCCAGCAGTGGCTGAACAAGCATTTGTTGGGATCCAAGGTACGTGCTGAGTGAGTTAGGTATTTAGAACTAGGTGCATCAGGGCAGCGTGGTGACCCTGGGAATGGCGTGTGCTGAAGTCCAGGTCCCCTCTGTCAGCTTGGGTGCCTCAGTGTGGAGATTCTTGAGTTGAGTCTTCTAGGAAGGTGAGAGGGGGCCTTGCTGGTTAGAGGAGAAGAGGGACCCCGTGGAGCCCTGCCCTTCAGAGCTCATGCCCTGTGAGGAGGGTCCCATGGGACCACAGTGATGCAGACCATTACTTCATTCTCCTTTTCTAAATTATCCACTTGGCAATTATAAACTGTTACAAGGAAGAGAGACTGTCTCCTCACGCACATGCCGGTGTGTTCTCTGGTGTGTCCGCTGTCCCCTCCCTGGTGCTCTGTTCCACACCCATAGACGAAGGCTGCTTCTTGACAGGAGTGCAGCGATCCCGTGTGTACTGCTGTTGTCTCCTTCTTCACTCAGTGAGTGTCCGTGTTTATACACGAGTCTCAGTCGCTACTTTGGCTGGAAGTGCCAGTGGGAAGGGTGCTCTCTGGTCATTGCTGTGGACAACTCTGATAAGCTTTATTTTGCACGACTTGATGATGTCCTAGGAAGCAACCACTGGCTGAAGAACTCTTATTTCTCTTTTGTAAATTTGTTTAATCAAATATCGATTCTTAGAGAACCAGGATAAATCCTGTTTATAACTCGGTGAATTTTTGTAAAAACCATCTTCCAAATCAAAATCCAGAACAATTCTATTTGCCTGGGAGTCCACTGGACCTCCCTCTGTCATTTCCCATTGCTCCTTACAGGGTCCTTCTCTCTGACATCGGGAGGCCACTCTGCCCCTTAGCTCTGTGTCTGGTGTCATTCGGGGCGTCTGAAGTTGTGAGGGCTCCCATGTTGTACAGAGTATGTTCTGTTTCATCGCTATACAGTGTTCTATCATATGATTGTACCACAGTTATTTTCCATTCTTGTTAGTATTTGGTTGTCCCCATTTTGGGATAGTTGTACATGTTTCTCTTTCTCACAGAGAATGCACTTCTGGTGGTACATTTCCGCAGGTGGAGTTGATGTGTGGCTGTCTGGTCAGGAAGTAAGAAATGGAGGCTTGAGGGTATAAGGAAGCATTCTGTATGGCATCTTGAGTTTAAGGGGCTGGTGATTAACAGGGTTGCCTCTCAGGCCTCTGACAAAAGCCCAAAGAATGGGTTCAGCCTGCTAGGGAGAGCTGAGGGTCTTGGTGTGTCCCTTGTCCGTGGTTGGCACAATGTTGGTCCTCTGCTGTTCTGAGGAAACAGCTGGTTTTCCTTCCATGGACTCTGGGTGGATTAGCTGTTGTTAGTGGCTTCATGCTCACTTCTTTGTCTGTCACATGTCCTCCATGACTTTCAGGGCCCCTCTGGTCTCCGTGGTGGTGCAGAGCTTCCATCTTCTGTCCTTTTCTCCTGAGGACCAGTATCCTACAGTCCCACTTAAGCAGAAGGCAGACAGACTTGGTCAGCTCTGGGTTGAAGTACTTGGACCGCTGCAAGATTGCAGCCTTGGGCAGAGTCTGTAAGCCTCTGAGCTACAGGCTGTCATCTCTGCAAGGTGTTGTGACTTTGGAGGTGACGGAATTGGTACTGAACAGGTAGTCCGCAGCATCTTCGTTTTTTTCCTTCTCAAGTCCGAACAGGTGGTCCTAAGATGTTTTGTTCATTGTTCCAGGTCCTGGGACCAGGACTGGATGCAAAGAGTTGTCTTCAGGGGAGATGCTTGATGGGGAAGAGTTGGATCAACTCCAGAAGGCTGTTCCCCAAGGACCTGATCCTGGAGAGACCCAGGCATGTGTCTGGGAGCCAGAGGAGAGCCTGGACAAGCTAGTAGAGCAGAGAGGCCTGAGGCCAGTCACACTGGCCAACGAGGAGAACATCCGGGAGTCTGGGGGAGTCCTCGGGTTTTGGTCAAACCCCTTCTCTGATCAGAGACCTCACAAATGTGATATATGTGAACAAAGTTTTGAACAGAGATCATACCTCAATAACCATAAACGTGTACACAGGTCAAAAAAGACAAATATAGTCCATGATTCTGGGGAATTCTTCAGTGCAAATTTAGTTGTTAGAGACGATCAGAAAGTTCCTCTTGGGAAAAAATTGCATTATTGTGGTTACTGTGGGAAAGCCTTCAGGTACAGTGCTAACCTTGTCAAACACCAGCGGCTTCATAGTGAAGAGAAGCCCTACAAGTGTGACGAGTGTGGGAAAGCTTTCAGTCAGAGCTGCGAGTTCATCAATCACCGAAGGATGCACTCTGGGGAGATCCCCTACCGATGCGGTGAGTGTGGGAAGACATTCAACCAGAGGCCCAACCTCATGAAACATCAGAGGATTCACACTGGGGAAAAGCCCTATAAGTGTGGTGATTGTGGGAAACACTTCAGCGCTTATTCTTCCCTTATTTATCACCAGAGAATCCACACTGGAGAGAAACCCTATAAGTGTAATGACTGTGGGAAAGCCTTCAGTGACGGCTCGATCCTTATCCGACATCGTCGGACCCACACCGGGGAGAAGCCATTTGAATGTAAAGAATGTGGCAAAGGTTTTACTCAAAGTTCTAACCTTATCCAACATCAAAGAATTCACACTGGGGAGAAACCCTATAAATGCAACGAATGTGAGAAAGCCTTCATCCAAAAAACCAAACTTGTCGAACATCAGAGAAGCCACACCGGCGAGAAGCCCTACGAATGTAATGACTGTGGCAAAGTGTTCAGCCAGAGCACACACCTTATCCAGCACCAGAGGATCCACACAGGAGAGAAGCCGTACAAGTGCAGTGAGTGTGGGAAGGCCTTCCACAACAGTTCCAGACTCATCCACCACCAAAGGTCGCACCACGGAGAGAAGCCATACAAATGCAGTGATTGCAAGAAGGCCTTTAGCCAGGGTACTTACCTTGTCCAGCACCGGAGGATCCACACGGGCGAGAAGCCCTACAAGTGCAGCAAGTGTGGGAAGGCCTTCCGGCACAGTTCCAACATGTGCCAGCACCAGAGGATCCACCTCCGCGAGGACTTCACACGCTGACTGCGGAGGAGGGCCCATGAGTTCTGCCGAGCGCGGCCACCGTACAACCCGACCCTTTATTTATTGTCCACACAGTGTTGTTACAGATGAGGGACGTTTCTAATTAAAAACAAACAAACAGTTTTCTTAAACCAAAAGCAGTGCATGTTCATTTTGGAGAAATTGAGAGAGGTAAGGAAAACATAGTTCTCCCCCACGTAGAGAGAGGATCTGCCACTGGTGATTTGGTATACGCTTCCTTTCACACATTGTTGAGAGCACACAGGCTCTCACCTTCGCTACTTCCTTAATCCTGGAGAACTCACACTGGGAAGAATTCTACACATTGACATATTTTTACATATTATAAGTTTAAAAGCTTAACAGTCATACTTTTCTGTGTCTTTATAATACGGTTGATAATTGCCATTTTTATTGTAAAATATATACAACATAAAATTTACTGTTTAACCATTTTTAGGTATGTAGTTCAGTGGCATTAAATACATTCACAGTGTTGTATAACCGTCACCACTGTCTTATTTGCAACAGAAAGTCTGTACCCACTAAACAATAACTCTCCTTTTCCCCTTTTTCTCACAGCCGCTGACAATCTCTGTTCTATTTTCTGTCTGTGAATTTGCCTATTTCTCGTAAGTGGAATAATACATTATCTCCCCTTTATAGCCGGCTTCTGTAACTTTGCACAATGTCCTTGAGGTTCATCCATTTTGTAGCCTGTATCAGGATGTCGTTCTTTTTTATGGCCGAAAAAAAATGACCTTGTTTGTAGACACCATGTTTTTTTGTTTTGTTTTGTCATGTTTTGTTTATCCACTCATCTGTTGATGGACACTTGGGTGTTTCTGCCTTTTGGCTGTTGTACTTACTGCTACTGTGAGTGGGTGTACAAGTATCTTTTTGGATCCTTTTTGGGGTCCAGGGAGAGAGTGCATGAGCAGTGCTTGGGGGGCTGGGGCAGAGGAAGGAGGAGAGAGAATCTTAAGCAGGCTCCACATCCAGTGCAGAGCCTGATGTGGGGCTCAATCTCACGACCCCAAGATCATGATCTGAGCTGAATTCAAGAGTTGCTTAACCAGCTGAGCCAGCAAGGCACCCCTTGGATCCTTTCAGTACTGCTGGGTCTAATTCTGGGAGTGAAATTGCTGGGTCAGGGTAACTCTTCATTTAACTTTTTGAGGAACGGGCAGACTTCCACAGTAGCTCTACAATTTTACATTCCCACCAGTGATGGATAGAGGGTTCTAATTTCCCTACATTCTTGCCAACACTTGTTATTTTCCTTTTTTAAAAAATATCTATTCTAATGCGTGTAAAGTGGTATATTGTGGTGGTTTTGGTTTGCATTTTCCCTGATAACTAATGATGCTGAGCATCTTTTCAGGCTTTTATAGACATTTGTATATCTTCTTTGGAGAAATGTCTGTCCAATTCTTTGGCCCATTTTTGAATTGGGTTCTTTTTTTTTTTTTTTTTTTTTTTTTAAGTGTTGAGGTGTAGAAGTTCTTTGTATATTTTGCATAGTAATCCCTTATCAGATATATGATTTTTGGATATTTACTCTCATTCTGTGAATTCTGTCTACTCTCTTGTTTATGTCCTTTGATGCACAAAAATTTTTCATTTTTATGAAGTTGAGTTTATTTTTTCTTTTGTTGCCTCTGCTTTGGGCATCATAACCAAGAGATCATTGCTAAATCTAAGGTTAGGAAGATTTGTCCCTATGTTTTTTCCTGAGTTTTATAGCTTTAGGTCTTAGGTTTTGGTCGTTGATCCATTTTAAGCTAATTTTTGTGTATTGTTATGAGGGTCGAACTTCTTTTGCATCCAATTTTCCCTACAACATTTTTTGAAAAGACTGTTTTCTCCATTGAATAGTATAGGCACACCTCAGAGACACTGTGTGTTCAGTTCCAGATCACTGTGATAAGCAGATATCTCAGTGAAGCAAGTCATTAATTTCTGGATTCTCTGTTCATAAAGAAGTTACATTTACAATACAGTATATTAAGTGTGCAGTAGCATTATGTCTAAGAAAACTGTACAAACCTTAATGTAAACACTTCATTTTTTTGAAGATTTTATTTATTTGAGAGAGAGAAAGTGCAAAAGCAGGGGGAGGGGCAGAGGGAGAAGCAGGGTCCCCGCTGAGCAGGGAGCCCGAAGTGGGGCTTGATCCCTGGGATCATGACCTGAGCCAAAGGCAGCTGATTAATCGACTGAGCCACCCTCTCACCCCCTAAACATTTTATTTCTAAAAAATGCTACCCATCGTCTAAGCTTTCAACAAGTCATAATCACTGATCACACAGACCTTTAGCAAATATAATAATGAAAAAGTTTGATATATTGAGAGAATTACCAAAATGTGACAGACACAAAGTGAGTAAGTGCTGTTGGGAAAATAGTGCCAATAGACTTGCTCAACATAGGGTCACCACACGTCTTCAGTTTGTAAGAGACACAGTAAAGCAAAGCACAATAAAAGGAGGTATGCCTGTATTGGCCCAGGCTGCCAAAAACATACAGACTGGGCGGCATAAAAAACAAATATATCAGAATAAATCTGTCTCTCATAGTTATGGAAACCAAGTCCAAGATCAAGGGTTAGGCTGATTCAGCCTTAGTGAGGGTTCTCTTAGCAGAAATACAGTTGCCATCTCACTGTGTCCTCACATGGTAGAGAAGATCTCAGACATCTTTTCCTTGCACAAGGGCACCAGCCCTATCAGATGAGGCCCTGCCTCTATGAGCTCAGTGAAACTTTATCACCTGTTAACAGTCCCTATCTCCAAATACAGGCACACTGGGTTAGACTTTCAACATAATGAATGGTGGGGTATGTGGGGGTGGGAAACAGTTCATAAATGGTCTTTGCACCTTTTTGTAAAAAGGTGCATATATAGATATCTATCTATCTATATATCAATCTATATATATATATAGATTGATATATAGATAGATATCTATATCTATATATGCAATAATATATATATATATACCATATATATAGGGGTTTCTTTCTGGGTTCTGTTCTATTCAACACCATGCTGTCATTTACTGTAGTTTTATAGGAAGTGTAGGAATCAGGGAGGGAGTCCTCCAACTTTGTTCTTTTTCAAGATTATTTTGGCTATTTGGGTTCCCTGTCTGGGATTCCATATGAATTTTAAGATGGTATTTTTCTATTTCTGCAAAATCACAGCTTTTGTTAGGGATTGCATTGGATCTGTAGATCAGTTAGGGTGGTGTTGTCATATTAATCCTGTCAAGTCTTCCGAAAGCATGGGACGTATTTTCATTTGTTTACATGTTCTTTTTTTGTTGTTTAATAGTGATCATTTCTGGTTTTCAGTGTACAAGTTCTTTGCCTCTTTGATTAAATTTATTCCTAAGTATTATATTTATTGTAATGCTATTGAGAATGGAATTGTTTTCTTAGTCTCTTTTTTTTGGATTATTTTTTATTTTAATTTTTAAAAAGATTTTATTTATTTATTTTAAAGATTTTATTTATTTATTTGACAGAGAGAAATGGCGAGATAGGGAACACAAGCAGGGGGAGCAGGAAAGGGAGAAGCCGGCTCCCTGCTCTGCGATCGATGGGGGGCTCAATCCCAGGATGCTGGGATCATGACCCGAGCCAAAGGCAGACATTTAACCCACTGAGCCACCCAATGCCCTGGATTGTTCATTATCAATGTGTAGAAATGCAACTAATTTTTATGTCTTGATTTTGTATATTGCTAGTTTGCTGAATTCATTTGTTTCTAAGATTTTGTTTTTTGTTTTGTTTTTGGTGTGTGCAGTCTTCAGGGTCTCCTAGTAGAATATCATGTCATCTGTGAACAGAGATAGTTTACTTCTTTTCCAGCTTGGGTGCCTTGTACTTATTTTCTTTGCCTAATTGCTCTGGCTAGAACTTCGAGTACTTTGTTGAATAGACGTAGCAAAAATGAGCATCGTTTACTTTTTCCTGATCTTAAAGCCTTCAGTCTTTACCATTATCTATTACATTAGGTTTTTCTATATAATTTTCATTATGCTGAGGAAATTTCCCTTTATTTCTGGTTTATGGAGTGCTTTTATCAAGAGACTGAAGTTGTTTTGTTTTTAAAGATTTTATTTATTTATTTGACAGAAAGACAAGCAGGGGGAGCAACAGGCAAAGGGAGAGGGGGACGCAAGCTTCCCGACAAGCGGGGAGCCCAACATGGGGCTTGATCCCAGCACCCTGGGATCACGACCTGATCCAAGGGCAGATGCTTAACTGACTGAGCCACCCAGATGCCCCTTAATGTATGCTTTTAAAGATGTAGGTTTCCTTTTTTGCACTGCTTTCACAACATCCTATAAGCTTTGGTATGTTGTTTTTGTTTCCATTTGTCATTCAGTATTTTCTACATTCCCTTTAATTTCTTCTTTGGCCCATTTATTTTTTAAGAACTTGGTTTAATTTTCCAGTTTTTCTCTGTAATTGATTTCTAGTTTTATTCTATGTGAATGGAAAAGATAATTTATGATTTTAATCTTTTAAAATATATTACAAGGGCACCTGAGTGGCTCAGTTGGCTAAGCGTCTCTGCCTTTGTATTTTTTATTTTTTAAGATTTTATTTATTTGAGAGTGAGAGGGAGTACAAGTGGAGAGGGGCAGAGGGAGAGGCAGGCTCCCCACTGAGCGGGGAGTCTGATATGGAGCTCGATCCCAGGACCCTGGGATCAGGACTTGAGCTGAAGGCAGATGCTTAACTGACTGAGCTACTCAGGTGCCACAAGTGTCTGACTCTTGGTTTTGGCTCAGGTCATGATCTCAGGGTCATGAGATTAAGCCCCACACTGGGCTCCACACTGGGCATGGAGCCTGCTTGAGATTCTCTCCCTCCCCCTCCCTCTGCCCTTTCCCTCCTGCTTGCTCTCTCTAAAAAATAAAATAGAATAAAATAAAATACATTATTACTTGCTTTTAGACTATATAGTATGATCTGGAAAATGCTCCGTGTGCATTTGAGAAGAGTGTGTGTTCTGCTGTTGGGC